AGCCTGAAAAACTGGGAGCATTTCTTCTGAGTCTCTTGCCCCTTCCACTATCCAGTGTGGGCTGTGCTATCTCCTATTTGATTAAGCCCTTGGCTCAATCTCCCAAGGTCTTTCCTTCATACATCATACTATGTGTGTCTATATGGCAAGAGTTTCAACTCTATCTTTACTGTAAATTATATCAATAAAATCTTGCAAGACTGAAAGTATTTCTCTCCTCTCCTATTTCTTATTGGATAACTAGGGAGGTCCCTTCTGAAATGTATCCCATGACTTTTCTCCTTCTGTGGGCTGAAATACCTCTTACAAACCAGTTTTCCAGCCTGCAGCAATCCCTCCTGTCTGCCAGGGTCACTTCCACATATAATGACAGACAGACAGACACAGACAGACAGAGTTCCGTGGTTTATGTGATTAATCTGTAATATGTGAAACATTCTTATGTTGTTATGTTTGTGATTAATGGATAGAAGTGGTTAGCGGTTCAGTTTCTTACACTTTGCCCATGAACTCTGCTGTTTCTCTCCTATTTGTTCATTGAATAATAATCTCACCAGAAGTAAAATATTATTCATTCTGCAGAGTTTACATAAATTCTAATAGAGGTAGTGTTGGTGGGTATGATTTTAGTGGTAGCAACAGCAGCAGCCTTTGGATGACTTATTTAGAAGTTTTCTGTAGATAAAAAGATACAGTACCTCTATAAAGCATTAATGGTAGATCACATGCTTTTCATATATAAAGACCCCAGTTCAACCCCTGGCTCTTGGAAACCATGGAGAATAGTTTTCAGCCAGTTTTAAGGAAACATGTGTACAATATATTTATATTTATGTGTTTAAATATAAATGAATGTATACATTTAAATATATACATATTCAAGCACAGTATATTCAAACTTTACATTTCATTCCATTCACGTTATAAATGAGATGCAAAACTACTGTATTTCCCTTGAGCTGAACTGTCAGCAAGAATAATAAATTACCACAACACAGTAAAGCATAAATTAACCCTATGAGCTGACTTTGCACAATGTTAGGCTAAAATGTGCTCGTGGTTCACTATACTGTGCAAATATAGCTAATGTTTTCCTCTGTTTTTTTTTTTTTTTTTTTTTTGATATGCAATGGAAATAATTAGCTAGAACAAGGGAAAAGTTTCTGTTCATCCTAAATGGTTGATAGTGGATGGATTGACCAACAATTTCAATTGGCCAGGATACATTTGCCCCATTAATACAATGTTTGTCAAATATTTTATTTTCTCCAATTTTCAAGATGAAGTCCTACTCTAAAATCAAATTCTGCTAAATGCTTGAATCTGCCATTGTATACCTAGCTCTGCAGCATCAGTCTTTTCAAGCGAGTTATACAGGTAGAGTGGAAAAAGGAAACAGCAAGGAAGCTTTATTCTTGTGCTAATATAAATGGATCAGTGTTATTTTTGAAAATCTGTTTTGTAAATCTACAATAGGACCAGTAAGAAGTGAGAAAAAGATGTAGAACAACCATACAGTTAGAATGCATATATTGTTAATCTAATGAGCCATTCTTTAAGGAAATAAAATGGATGAATCTAATTAGTTTACTAAGCTGGTTTTTTTACTTGGATCATAGCAATATGATATCTCTTTTAAAGAATCAATCTCCCTTTGTCTCCTGGGTCAGGAAGAGTCTAAAGCAATAATATAGCTGCTGTTTCTGTTTTATTACCCATAGGGAAGCTTCAGGACTCCCTGGTCATGTCGGGGAGAGTGGGCAGAATGAAAGTAGGAAAAATGGCCTGCATTTTTGGCCATTAGCTGCAAGAATTTCCAATATAATGGTTTAGGTGGCTGTTTCCATGAGCAAAATATGAACCTGGTAATTGCTTGATGTCAATGAGATTCATTATCTAAATTATGCTTTTATTTTAATACAAGAAATTTAATACAATTTCCATTTTAATATAAATAAGATAGCTTGCTTAAATACAGAAATATTTATTTGAATATTTATTTCAAACATATTCACTACCTTTCTGTTTGAAATCAGCATTTTATTTCCAGGATCTGCCTCCAGACCAGAGTCTTCCTCATTCAGAACACTATTTTATACCCAAAGTTACCTTCAGGGATGAAATTATTTTCTTTCCCCATGATTTTACTTTCCAAAATTGCTTATTTTCTATTTTAAGAACCTTTTTATCCAAAACAGTATTTCTTAGACTTTCTTTAGATAGATTTGTGTCCAGGTAGAAATTGAAGCAAAAGAAGATGAGGATGCAGAATTTATGAGGGCAATTCAGAAATAAACCTCCATTCAGTTATTAATGACAGACACTCAAAAATACAGAACTTTTATTATACACATTAGAAAACTACAACATTACATTACTTTTTGACATAATTGAGGCACTTGTCATAATGTTTTACAAGGTTTGAAATTCTTTCTGCAAAAAAATCTCCTGCCTGGGAATGAAGCCAAAGCAGAACCCATTCGGTGTGTTTTGTACTCCTCAGAAAGGAGTTTTAGTACCTAACAAGCACAGAACTTGCGGTATCCCAAATTTTCTGTCACTACCTCATACAAAACAGTCCCAAGAAATTTGGGGAAAGTGTAAATAAAATGCAGATATCGTGAACCAACGGACACCATGGACCTTTTTGTCAATTTCCTGCACGAGTACATCACTGGCTACAGATGGATGGCCACTTCTTACCTCATCGTGCATGTCAGTTCATCCATCTTTAAACATGTGACACCATTGACATATGGCACCTTCATTCATCATGTTTGGTCCGTAAACATTACGTAGTTTGCGATGAATTGTAGCTGCTGAAAGTTGCATGCACTTCACATTTGGCAGGATTTTCTATGGCAGGGTTCATTTTCAATTGATCTAGCGGACGAATCAACTGCAATACAACCTTCTCCTTCCACTCCTCACTGTCTACTGAACTACTGCGCATGGCGCCATAGGACAGGTGTCGTTATCCCCGCCTATTTCTCGCACATGCTCAAACAGAGGTTTATTTTCAAATTGCCCTTACATTAAACCATTTAGAAGACTTCTATGTGACATATACCAGTAGGTTCTGAATACCTCATGGTACAATTTGTGATGCAAAGAGACATAGGACAAATATGGAAAATCAAGAGCTTAACACTCAGAGCACTGATGATCTCTTGGCTGAATTCACATAAGCCATAGATAGAAATACATTTTCAGGTGATAGCGATTGTTTCCACTGCAGCATACTTTATTTGCTAAATGACATACTTTATTAAATGACAGTTTAATTAAATTGGTGAATGAGCTAAGGACAGTGTATGAAGACTCAAAAAAGCAACACACTATGTTAGGAAAGAAAGCATAAATGCTCTCCAAACCCATGACCACAAAGTTCTGATGAATAAAAAAAAAGAATTGTGGGAGTTATTTCCAGAATCTATTACCTTTGAAGATTCTCAAGGTTCATTTGATACTTACTGTCTAAATATTTCCTAAGTGAACCATATCAAAATTAAAAATATTGTAAGATCATTTAACAATATATATCTGATAAGAATTTTGTCAATTTTGCGTCTTTTGGCTCAGACAATGACTTTATAGTGATTAGAAAGCAAAATGGAACTCCAAAGCTTCTGTAGTTGGGATTTCAAACTCACAGGCCACATGTAGCCCTCCAGATCATCCTGTCATCTTCCAGACACCATAGTTCAAGCTGAGGCCTGTGCGGACATCACTAGTATAACTCTCAAAAGGAGCACATCTTTGCCCTGGCCTTGAGCGAGGACGGTATGATATTCTACCCTCCTTGGGGTCAGGATCATGTTCCCCTCCCAGGCAGGTTTGCTGGGGTTTGCTCAGAGATATCATGCTGCTGCTTTTTTGCTCCCACCATTTTGTGAAAGAGTTGTGGGGGCATAAGAAGCACTGAATGCTGGCACCTTGCCTTACTTAAACTGCTAAACCCTACCTTGCTGGGACAGCTGGAAAGAAACTGCTTAGAGGGAGTTTAAAGGTCACAAGGGGAGTAGGTAAGTAGGGATTCCTACTCCACCCTCTGTGATTTCTTGCCAAACAGTTTTTCTTTTCTGGGGATTTTTTTTGTCTGCTCCAGCTGGGGGACAATAGGATGGGTGAAGTAACATTGCAATTGCCTGGAGCCTCCTTGCATTCACAGCCATGATGAAGGTGGGAGTAAATGGCAGAAAAAATAGGTCAGGAGCAGGAAGCAGCCCAGGCTTGACATCTCATAGCATACCTGGAGAACCAGGCTGGGTGCAGAGTGTGTCTCTCACCACCAGAGAGAGACAAAACAATGCCTCTGCCCAGGTGGCAGGAAGGAGGACATGCTCCAGTGGGGCCTTTGCAGCCAGCCTCTATCTCTTCAGCCAAAGTGAAGAGAAGCTGCTGCATTTTACAGAACTCCTCTTCTAGGACTGTCCCTCACCTGTCTCTCAGGAGTTGTACCTTGATCCATGCCCCATCCCTTTCCTGGTTGTAAAGGTACCCCATGTATCCTAGAGGAGCTTGTCCCAGTTTCTGCCTCCTGTGATCATTTTCCTTCTGCAACAGCCCAGTGAAGTAAGTGACTCCTAGATTTAAACCTGATGCAAATCCCCAAATCAGCATGCTTCCCTATTAATTATAACTAGAAAACATAGAAACCCTTTTTGCTATGTATATGTGACAGAAAATATTTCTTTAATCAATTTTAGCTAACACCATTAAAATTATTATGAAATTCAGCTATATTAGCAATAATTGTAACCTTTCATAGGGGCATATGCCAAATGGAAGACAAAATATGATTTTAATTGTCATTAGAGAGTTGCGAATATTATTTTTGTCTCAAAGATTTGGAAAAATATTCAGGCATAATTGTCCCCTTTGAGGGGCTAAATCCTGTCAAATTTCAAATAAGTGGCCACATGAAATGGCAAAATAATACCAAAAGCACACTGCTTGGATCTACTGCACTGATACTTTATAACATCCTTGGTTCTTAGGAAGAACTCAATTCAAATGAAGGCTAATACCTGCTGAAGAATTGGCAGCTGAGATTTCACATTACTGCATTTCACAATAAAGTTTTGTTTAAAAAATGTGCTTAATACTACACTGTGGTACTGTTTATTGTTAATTCACTAAAGGCTTTGTATCAATGTATACATATATTTCTGCTTTTTGGCTAATGAGCTAGACTCTATGTGTCCCTTGTAGCAATTAGAGTTTGAGAAGCTGTTCTATTGAAAAGAAAATAGTATAAAAATTTATGCTGTTGGCACTGTGTGCCATTTAATATATCTCATCACTGGTTAAGCAATAAAACATTTTCTTTTACAAAATTTTCTATTGAATCCTTAGTGCCAAAAAGAAAGCACTTCTTAGCTAACTTGTTTAATTTTGTAATGAAGCTGGTAAAAAAGCTCTCAAACTTGTGGTTCAGTGATTAAACACATCTTGCATGCTTGAAAAGATCCTAAACATTTGCAATGACCTTAAATGTTATTTCCCATCTCGTTGCATTAAGATATTGAATCTGTTTCACAAAAGTACAACAAAGCAGTCTGAGCAGATATATCTAGAACTAGAGAAGATTAGCTGGCAAACAGCATGTTAATGGATCAGTTAATTAACTGTATATCCTGTTTCTGCATGCAATTATATCTGAAGATGTTAATTTTAATTAGTTGGTTCAGTGCAAGGAGTCTTTGATCCACAGACCAAATCCTGCAACAATGAAATTGTATGTGGTTTCTGCTAGAATGCTTTATTAAATCCCTGATTATACCTGAGAACAAAGATAATTCATGATTTGTTAATACCACCAAAGAACATTTTCAGAAGTCAGACCAAAGTTTGTTCATAGGTTTTGGTATATTGCAACTGATGATGAAGTTCAAACTTGAGGCAAAAGAAGTTTATAAGAATATCCTATTGCATATAAAGCAAAAATTCCCAATCAATGACCTAATACTAAAGGCAGCTATTGTTTTTGATTCTTTAGAGTAGAGGTCTCCAACCTTTCCGGGCTCATGGACCAGAGGGAAGGAGAGCAGCTTCAAAATTGTTGCGCGCAGCACTATCAGCCCTGTCTATGCATGTGGCATGCGTTGTTGCCATGTGCATGCATGAATGGCCACGCACCCCCACGGTGGCTAGCAGCCAATTTACGCATGCGCAAACAGGCTGAGCAGACTACCTGGGCTAGCAACACATGCACAAACAGGCTGCAGACACCCGCCCTACGCTAGCGTCCCCATTTGTGCTTGCACACATGCACAAACAGGGCCGTGGGCACTAGTGTGAGTGGGCGGAATGCGTGCCCATGCATGTGTGCACCAGCCAGCCATTTCTGCAGCTGGCTGGCCAAGAGCCCACGGCCCAGTCTCGGGCCACAGACCATAGGTTAGCGACCCCTGTTTTAGAGAGACAAAAATTGAGTTACTCAATTTTTTCATTGCTATTTCATGTAGGGATAAAATTTCATTAAAAAAAATCATTAAAAACTTTTTGTGGCCTAAAGAAGTAAGGATTGATTAATTTTGCCATCAGTCGCAAGTTCCAGCAGCTAAACAATCACAGTCTGCAGTATTTTGCAAAAGATTATTCATTTCATAGGGTCAAGTTTTCTGTGAAGGTATTTTTTTAGCAAGGTTAGAACAATGCAGTTAAAGTTTGAAACATTTTATGGAAAACGGTAAAAAAATATTTTACAGCTGGAGGGTATACCCAAGAGATAAGTACTAGAAAATGATTCCTGTGTGATAATGTCATTCCCAGTCAATTTTTTCAAGAAATAGAACCGTATTGAGTGATAATCACCCATTGATCACAAAACAAATTCTGCTACTAATAGAAATTTGCAGACAAAGAAAGAAGCTTCCGAAGTGATGAATGGCTGGTCACTGACAAGTTTTACATCCGTTAAGATTTCACTTAAAATTGGAATATATCTCTATTTGGGTTAGGAGGAGTCTGGTCATACAGTAGCAAACACTCTTTCAGCCCAATTACTAATTTCATTTAGAAAAATTTCTTTAGGTTTGTTGGGAGAAAGAGAGCAACAAAACAAAAACTTTTGAAGATGTTCAGATAATTTGGAGCCAACAGGAAAGAAATAAGTAAGAATCGTAGTGTGTGTGTATGTTACATTTATTTTTTTATACTTTAAAGATTCTGCAATATTCATTGTGAAGATAAAACAAAACAAAACACCGGCCATGCTTTTGAACTTGGGAAAGGGGACAGGCTGCGTCATTCACTCACTTTACACTAGGATCTGCAGTAACTTGAAATTGGCAAGATAATTTTTCATTGCTTTGGAAAGTCTGCAAAACAGGAGCAACCTCTCTCCTCCCTTGGGTCGTTTGTGTCTGTTGGAGGATTTCAAAGAAGGAAGAGTGAGCACAGTTAATGGCTACTTATCAAGGCCACCAAAATTCTTGGAGCTTGACTCTGAGAGCAGTCAGAGGACATGCATACTCTGCCTGTCTACCCACAGATGCAATAACTATGCATCACAAGAAGGTTTGACCAATAACAGGTTTGGCAAGTTACTTTTCAAGAAGAAGCAGTTAACTACAAGAGAGGGGTAATTCCTTAGGTGTCCAGGTTTTTCTGTTGTTCATCAAGCATTTTCTAATGCAATTTTCAACACTTTTTAAACATTAAGGTATTTTAAAAATATTTAACAAACAAAATAAGACTCTCAACAAAAACACTTCTATGCTTATTAAATTGCACATAATGAAAAGAACAGAAAAATAAAAATGATCAAGCTATTTCCCATAAGTATTCCTTGTAAGTATTGTGAAAATGGCTTTAATTGTACTGTGTAATCTAACAAATGCAGTTTTAAATACCTACTGCAGTCCATAAATATATAAAGTTGGTTTGGATCAGTATCTGAAATACAGGATCTGTCCTGTTCAAATATAACAATAAATAAATGTATTTTAAATGATTTGGTCCAATTTATTACAATCATGGAATATATCTATTCAATAGCAATAGCACATAGACTTATATACTTTACAGCACTCTTTAAGCCAATGGTTCTCGACCTTTTCTTCACCACAGACCCCCCCTTAAATACCTTTTGTGGCTACAGACCATGGCCACGGACCCCCAAGATTTAATTCAAGATTTAATTCATAAAATTTATTCATATGTTTGTGGACCCTCTGTGACAACATTGTGGCCCCCCAGATTGAGAACCATTGTATATTATCCCCAACAATCTGAGTCCTCATTTTACCAACCTTGGAAGGATGGGTCAACCTTGAGCAGATCAGATCGAACTCCTGATAGTAAGCAGAGTCAGCCTGCAATACTGCATTCTAACCACTGCACCTCCGCGGCTCTGTTTAAAAGTCTACTACAGTTCATGACATGAAGTCATAATGTCAACATGAAAATGTGCATAATTGTTCATTGAAGCAATCCACCTAGTTTCAACATAGCTTACATGTTACCTCTACAAAAGTACATACAACAGCCTTTCTATTATAGTTAGCTAACAGAAATTCAGATTTTGTTGATTTGATTACCCCCTTCCCAAAATGCTGATCTGTGTATCTTCTTAATCTGTAAGTACATCACTGTAGATCAGCAGTTCTCAATCTGTGGGTCGCGACCCCATTTGGGGTCGAACGACCATTTCACAGAGGTCGCCAAACAATGCAGTCCGCCATTTTTTCCCCCTTTTCCTTAGCTGTGCTACTCCCTCTTATTCTATTGGCTTTTGAAAGCCAATAGAATAGACTCTCTTGAATAGAGTATAATTCTATTGGCTTTCAAAAGCCAATAGGAATTGTCCAGGCTGTCTCTGCCCTGCTGAGACCGCCAGAAGTCCCAGTCTGCAAACGGTGCTGCAAGTTGTCTGTAGCTAAGGCGAGCTTTCTGGACATTTCCACCCCTCCCTGCTGAGCAACTACTAAATGTAAGTAAAAGAGGGCCAGGGGTGGTAGGTGGGAGGCCGGCGGGCACAGGGAGGGTTGCTGGCATGCGTGGGGCCCAATGGGTGCCTTACTTCCATTGGGCTGGGCCAGCTGGTGGCCCAGCCGGTGGTCGCCCTGCGCCCTCGCTGCCGCGTGCCATGGCTGCCCAGGAGCGCCTGGGCCTGCCTGCTGCCGCACCGAATGTGCGGTGGCCAAGGTAAGGCTAACGGGGCAGCGACGGGCACAGGGAGGGTTGCTGGCACATGTGGGGCCCGGCGGGTGGCTTACCTCCCTTGGGCTGGGCCAGCTGGTGGCCCAGCTGGTGGTTGGCCTGCGCCGTCACTGCCGCTTGCCAGCTACGCCTCGGCCGGCGCAGGGGGCAGCACCACGCATGTGCGGTGCTCCCGGGCCGAGGCGGTTGCTGGGCGACGGCCTGTGTGCACCCTCGGCCTGCCCAGCGTACGCTCCAGCCGCAGGAGAGGAGGCAGAGCGTGCACACCTACTCCTGCCCCGCCCACAGGGAAATACAGGTAGTCCTCGACTTATGACCACATGGTTGGGGGTCGCGGCATTAGGAAGGTTGAGAACCACTGCTGTAGATAATGGCTGAATCTTTCTCAGTATTTTTCTGAATACTAACATTGCCCACATCTGCAATAACAGTTATAGAGTGTTATTTCAAGTCAGCTAAAAGCCTATCAATGAAAAGCATTCCCAGAGAATGAGGCAGCAACCTTCATTGTTTTGGTATGTGTCGAGAAAAGAACAACCACTCTTGCTGTTTTTAAAATTTGAAGTTGTTAACTAACTGCACCTGAATGGACCTCTTGACTTTTCAGGTGTTTGGTAACTACGCAGGAGGTCTAGACACAGACGTGCAAAGTACAAATTATCAGCAGCATTGTGGAATCTAGGATGAATAGCTTTTTGCAACAATAACCTGAAGGGCATTCACTCTAGGTGATAACCTGCATTTTCCATTTACCCCCAGAAGAGCTTTGGTTTGTCTCCAGCCATCCACCAAGAACCATAGTAAATAGTTTGCAGGAGAAGTCAATAATTCAAGCTGATTGGCAGGGTAACCTTAGCCAAGTATATTGTTTCCGGCTTTTGGAATAAGACAGGAAATCTGAAAGGGGCAAGTAATGGGGTTGGTTT